TTGACCCCAAAATAGTAATCAGATGTCTCCTTGGATCAAGCAGCTATTACCCCACTAATTAGAAATTATATCCCTGTATGTTATGTTTTTGCATGTATTTATCCAATTGCAGTTTAAACATCTGTATAGACTCTGACAAAACCACCTCTTCAGGCAGAGAATTTCATATCCTTATTGCTCTTACTGTAAATAAACCTTTTCTTTGCCTTGGATGAAATCTCCTTTCTTCCAGCCTAAATGTGTGACCTTGTGTCCTATGTATAGCCCTGTTTATGAATAGATTTCCAGATAAAGGTTTGTACTGGCCCTGAATATATTTGTATAATGTTATCATATCCCCTCTCAGGCGCCGTTTTTCCAAACTAAACAGATTAAAAATTTTTAACCTTTCTTCATAACTAAAAAAGCTCCATTCCTTATATCAATTTTGTAGCCCGTCTCTGCACTTCTTCTAGTGCCATGGTATCTTTCTTTAGAACAGGTGCCCAAAATTGCACAGGATATTCAAGGAGTGGTCTTACCAGCGATTTATAAAGTGGCAAAATTATATTTTCATCCCGAGAATTTATGCCCCTATTTATACATGACAAAACCGTACTGGCCTTAGCAACTGCGGATTGACATTGCATATTGTACTATAATAATCAATTTCTATGTGCCACTTATCAATTCTAATAATTGCTGCAACTCTGCATATACGGATAATCAATTTCTAGTTGCCACTTATCAAATCTAATATTGCTGCAACTTATATATAAGGCTTAATCAAATTCTATGTGCCAATTATCAACTACTAATCAAGTTATTAAGAACTCCTGTTACTACTTACAGAATTGTTACATTTATACAATCTATTCAAAATTTACTCCTATGCTGCATTCTAATGCCTAATTTGTATAATTCAGGACATTGTTACTTTTTTTTTCTTTTTTATTGCAACCAGAGAATTGGGCAAAAGTCTTTTTTAACTTCATGCCAATACTGCAACTATGTGATAATTTGACTTCAACTTAATTTTACTAAAGAGAAAATAAAATCTCTCAAGAAATTCTAAGTAAATTCTTTTTGCTTTTCTTAAAGGTATAGTATCACCTATTAATTCTGCAGTTGTGTTCCTCCATTTTTGTCTAACATTTCTGAAATATAACACAGTCACGTCAGACTTCTCTGGAGATTTGGCTCTAGGAGTGCTCTGATTGGTTTACTTACAAGTGCTCTTAGTAATATTACATTGCGTGGGAAATTTTTCCACATTCTGCAATAACTTGCATAGCATCCCCACCTCCTATAGAATGTAAGCTTGTTTAACCAGGGCCCTCTTCAACCTATCGTTCCTGTAAGTTTTTTTTTTGTAATTGTCCTATTTATAGTTAAATCCCTCCCTCTTATAAATATTCTAAATATCTGTTGGTGCTATATAAATGCCAATAATAATAATAATAATAGCATGTGAAAGCCTATATATCTGTCCCCCACTACCCATATTATCCTGCCCCTGTATTCTATCCTGCATATTTTACCTTTCTGTTTATCTCTCCATTCCTATTTCCTATTTCTGTCCACATGTTTACACGACCCATCTTCTCACACTTTTTCTTTGACATTATGACTGAGCAGTATGGGGGTGATAGTTCTGGGAGAATCAGTTTGGTGTATGAACAGGAGGAACAGGAGGAAAAGATAAAACATAAAATCATATCCCTGCTTTCTATCACAGACTTGTGTGCTTGCTGCCAGAAGTCTCGCTTCGACAGTTCTCAGGTACCAAGTCTGTGTGCCAGTGTGCAAAAATAACTAGTTAAAATTACCTAATTACATCTGGATTCACTCTGAACAAATTTCAGTAGAAGTTATAGTTGCTAAATATAATCACCTGCTTTTTGAAGGCAATCCTACAGAAATGTGGAATATTTGTCCACTGACAGTACAAGCATTCAGTAAACAAATGGTTAATGGAATACTCTACCGCACAAATGGGCAAAAAAGTAGAATTCATTGTTTAGTACATATACCCCCAGTTACTTTTTTCATGCATGTATTCTTTAGAGGTATATATTAAAGGAGCATGCAAAACCTGCAGTTCTTGTGAAATGCAGCCTTTGCAAGCCCTCCCCTTTTCTCTGGAAAAGACTAACAGACTCTGGGAAATAGACAATTAAAGGCTTCTTATTTACAGTGAGGGAAAAAAATATTGGATCCCCTGCTGATTTTGAATGTTTGCCCACTGACAAAGAATTGATCAGTCTATAATTTTAATGGTAGGTGTATTTTAACAATGAGAGACAGAATAACAACAACAAAAAATACAGAAAAACACATGTCAAAAAAGTTATAAATTGATTTGCATGTGAAGGAGTGAAATAAGTATTTGACCCCTTCGACTTGTACTTGGTGGCAAAACCCTTGTTGGCAATCACAGAGGTCAGACGTTTCTTGTAGTTGGCCACCAGGTTTGCACACATGTCAGGAGGGATTTTGTCCCACTCGTCTTTGCAGATCCTCTCCAAGTAATTAAGGTTTTGAGGTTGTAGTTCTGGCAACTGGAACTTTCAGCATCCTCCACAGATTTTCTATGAGATTAAGGTCTGGAGACTGGCTATGCCACTCCAGGACCTTAATGTGCTTCTTCTTGAGCAACTCCTTTGCTGCCTTGGCTGTGTGTTTTGGGTCATTGTCATGCTGGAATACCCATCCACAACCCATTTTCAATGCCCTGGCTGAAGGAAGGAAGTTCTCACCCAAGATTTGACGGTACATGGCCCCCGTCCATCGTCCCTTTGATGCGTTGCAGTTGTCATGTCCCCTTAGCAGAAAAACAACCCAAATCATAGTGTTTCCACCTCCATGGTGTTCTTGGGGTCATGGGTAGCATTCCTCCTTCTCCAAACACGGCACGTTGAGTTGATGCCAAAGAGCTTGATTTTGGTCTCATCTGACTACAACACTTTCACCCTGTTCTCCTCTGACGGGCCTGTACATGTGCTTTCTTGAGCAGGGGGAGCTTGCGGGCGCTGCAGGACTTCAGTCCTTCACGGCATAGTGTGTTACTTATTGTTTTCTTGGTGACTATGGTCCCAGCTGCCTTGAGATCATTAACAAGATCCTCCCATGTAGTTCTAGGCTGATTCCATACCGTTCTCATGATCATTGAAACTCCACGAGGTGAGATCTTGCATGGAGTACCAGACCGAGGGAGCCTGACAGTTATTTTGTGTTTCTTCCATTTGCAAATAATTGCACCAACTGTTGTCACCTTTTCACCAAGCTGCTTGGCGATGGTCTTGTAGCCCATTCCAGCCTTGTGTAGGTCTACAATTTTATCCATGACATCCTTGGACAGCTCTTTAGTCTTGGCCATGGTGGAGAGTTTGGAATCTGATTGATTTCTTCTGTGACCAGGTGTCATTTACATAGGTAACTTTGTATTCTGTCTCTCACTGTTAAAATACACCTGCCATTAAAATTATAGACTGATCATTTCTTTGTTAGTGGGCAAATGTTCAAAATCAGCAGGGGATAAAATACTATTTTCCCTCACTATAGAAGTATCTGAAGCTCTCCTATTGTGCATGGTTGCGCTTGTTCCCACATCGGCTCACGCACACACACAAACCCCCAGCATTATGATCTGTTGTCTGACAATCAGGTATGCAGGGTGGAGGTATGTGCGCTCAAGTAAATTGCACTTGCTGCTTCCGTTACCTCAGGTGAGCTAACGAATGTAGGAAGCAAACCTCCCTAAATGTTTGATTGACAGCCAGGCTGGGGGGCTGTTTCATTAATTATTTACACAAGTGCTGATTTCATAGAAATGTATGAACTTTCATGATATTGGGATTCTCCCATAAAGCACTTAGAGGACACTAGAGGCACCTAGACCACTTCAGCTCATTGAAGTGGTCTGGGTGCATAGTCCCAGGTCCCTTAACCCTGCAGATTATAATTATAAGTACCTTTGAAGGTTAAATCCACCTCTAGTGGCTAGTCTACTAGACAACCACTAGAGGAACTTCCAGGTTGTTAGGCGACTCACGCTATGCAGTAGGACATCCGGCATCATGAAAACCCTATTGGAAAGCATTACACATGATTTACTATTGGGGAAGTACTGATGCGAGCACATATGCATTAGGTCTCCACTGCTGGCTGATGTCGACAGGGGATGAGCGAAGGTGGAGCCCAATCCAGCGTCAAGGGACATCAGTACTGGACTTAGGTAAAACACAGAAAGGAGAGCCGCGAGTGAGGGGGGGAGCAACAGTGCCAGGAAGAAAAAGTTTGTTTTCCTGGTACTATAGTTTGCCTTTAAGCAAGCTGCAGTGCTTTATGGGTGTGGAGTGGTCCTTTAAAATAATTATACAAGGTAATATGAATATAATAAATAAGTTAGTAATCGAAATTTAATATCTGGAATTTCACTGAACTCCACTGAACTGTGGAAATTAATTTGTACCAAATTTGCAGGGAGACAGTTGCCAACTCTGCCTAATTATCATTTTGTTTGAGCAGTTGGTTGTATATTTCTATCGTGACATACTGACATACCGGTAATGCTACAGGAGCTGGAGTTTTAATATTTATGTTGAGCTTTTCGCTATGAAGCACATACAAAGACTACAGGCACCATGACCACTTCAAATCCATGACTTTACAAGCTTGGAAACACATCCAATTCAGCCTGAATTTAGCATTTTGGTTTTCAATATATAAACCCCTTGTGAAATAGGGATCCACTGCCAAACAGTTTCAGATTAATGTTACAGCTTCCCACTGATAGCATTTGAGGTGTGTACTGTATTGTAACTAACCAGGAAATATGAGTTATGACACTAGGTTTTGAACATACTGCTATATGCCACCCACACCACCAGTGGCAGGGCGGGGAGGAGGGAGGTATCCCAGCACACTGGCCAGGCAGGTGACATGCACCAACTTGTGTGAGAAAGGGCAGAGCCAGTAGTCTCTCTGGCTTCGTGACGTCACTGCCTCCGCCCTCAGCCCGCTCCCCTTGTCCCAGCCCAGTGACGTCACTGCATCCGCGGCCTCCATCTTGAAGCCGTGGCCTCAGAGTCCGGTCCTCCCGCCCCGGGCAGCGGCCTCCCCGGTATCCGCCTCCATCTGGAGTCCGGGACCAGCACCGGCCCAGGGTCAGCATGGCGGGTGAGAGAGAAAGACGGGGGAGGGCGTTCGGCGGTAATATTGGGGGGTGGGGGCTGTTTTTTTTTATCTGCAGTTGAGGTGGGTTTGTGAGCAGCCAGCCCGGGTGAAGCCGATCCACACACTGGCACAGAGCACATAGAGCACATAGAGAGAGCCTGCCGCCTGCTTACTGCACAGCTCAGTGCTGGGTGCAGCTCAGCTCAGCTCAGCTCAGCTATAGCATAGCTGGATATATCAAATAGAATATGTGTATATAGATAATGAATATAATCATTTTCATCTGGCCGAGGTGTGTGCATATCTATCTATCTATCTATCTATCTATATGATGTCCATTTTACTACATTCTACAGAATGGTACAATAGGTAATGGTGTCCTCTGTTTCTCAGATGGCTAACCTTTTGGCACCGCACCTGTGTTGCAGACTACTGTTCTTATGATGCTCAGGCAACCATTGAACTGGCTGAGCATAATGAGAACTGTAGTCTGCAACACATGGAGCGCCAAATGTTACTCATCCCTGTTATTAATCTCAAAGACTATTGCACTGTGTCATACTACCATAGATCACACACACTCTTTATTTAAGAATGTGTGTTCTTCATTCACACATCATTGTGCATGCACAGGTATCCTATATTATGGTGACTCTGTTGCTCCTTTATTGAAAAAACGCTTATAAAAAGTGAGTTGTGTAGGGTGGCATTGATGTTAATTCAGCTTACAACTATATAATATCCATAAATGTCTCTAGGAAAAGATTAGATAATTGCCTATGGTAAATATGGTCTGGAACACTGAATCAAAGGTGGTTATGCCAAGTTTTCATTGAATGTTATTTTTTTTACAAGTTATGAAACCTCTAATTGAAGCAGATAGAGATATATATATATATATATATATATATATGGCTTGTGACTGTTAATACCCACCCACACAATGCATCATTTGTTTCAAGGGATTGTGGGTGATGGCATGTGAATGGGCAGTGTCTTATGTCAATCTTGACTTTTTGTGACCATAACATATAGTTTAACAATTGCTTAGAAGTGTAGATGTACTATATAATAGTGAACAACCCCATATGGTATACTAGTTGAGTTTAATTCTAAGTGAGGGTTTTTTGTTTTTAATGTGCTTGAATGGATCCACTGTCTGTTTTGCCAAGCTGGAATAAATCAATTCCTCCCTGTCTTATCCCATTACTTTGCTTCTATTTAGAAAGGATGTAAAAAATTGTCCTCCACATCAGAAATGGAGTTATTTTATTTAACCCTCTTGGTGACAGATTTTTGATTAATGTATTGTGGACCCTTCTGGTTAAGTCCCAGTGTTACCAAGTTTTCTCCTCTCTAGGATAAATGTGTGTATGTATAGTCTTAACAGTTGTAAGAAAAACTGTATTCATCTATGTTAATACTGAAAACCATTTCTACAAACCGGTATACATACATACATTCTTCTCTTGTTGTTCCTACCTAGATTTGTACATTCTTTCATGAGTGATTCTATTTTCAAACCAATTACCTAGTGATGACTTTATTATACAAGGTCTTCAGTGTATTTCTCATGTTGCCGGCCAGACATTTTACTGGATGTCCATCATAGGAAAGAAACATGGTGCACAGGATCTAGCATGCCAGCTTTGTAGCAATCATGGTTTTTAAAACCATCTCTCTATCTTTTCAATGCCTAATGCTGTCCATTCAGGGTTTTTGTGGTTATCTTCACCCTCCTACACGTTCTCTTTATGACAATTCTAGATTCCTTAACTACAAGAGATGTAGAGGAAAAAGTCATTGGAAGGATAATGCAACTATGTATTTCCCCCCACAAAATAGCCCCTCCTTTTGAATAAGGAAAAAAGAGGCATTGCCGCTTCCCCCGTCAGTAACCTCACAGGAAGACCGTTCCCACCATCCTGTGCATGCAGCTCCCACCCCCACACTCCCTCTCTCAAGGGAAGCCTCCTTTCTTTGTACACTATGACAGGGATTTCTTTCCCCCCTCTCCATCACTCCTGCACATCCTTTCTCTTGCATGGATCAAACATTGTGAAGAAGTCAGGTCTGACTAAAGAGCTTAACTCTTTAAAATGGATAAAAGCATAGGTACCAACTTTATAATGAACTGGGCTTCCTCTGGATCTTCAAAATCTGGGGAATTGTGTAGAAGCTTACATGGAAATTTCCACTAATATGTGCTGTTGGGAAAAGAAATCCAATTACTTATTTTTTTTTTTTTTTTTAAATCTGCTCCTGCCTGTAACATAGGGTGGACTACTTTTTACTTGCTGGTTGGTAACATATTTTTGAAATCCCTGTGCAATGCAATTTCATAACTACCGAGAGCCTAGGCATGTTGTTACTTGGCTGTGTTCAAATCCAGCATGTTTCATGCATTTGCTATTTGTATAAACCAATTCTTGACTCTGCTGAAGGGTGAGGAGTTAAGAGACTGAAACATAGCCCCTTCCTGTATCGGCGGAACTAGGAACTCTTTTCTGAGGGCGGTGCAGGTTTCTGTGAATTGCAGCTGTATTCCCAGGAGTAATGTTCCAGAAGTTCTCTCCTCGAGCTGTCTTTCTGGGTAGTCTTCATTTTAATGTATGGAATCTGTGTGCCTGGAATAGACATGGTTTAGTGAAAACCTCACTCTTCCTAGTCTGAAGGCAGAACTTTCCTTTACTTGTTTGGACTTGTGATGAATTTTCTCCAGATAAGGAATTTTACCTGCTCTATTTTACTCTGAATGCGAAGTTTAATGCAGCCACATATATGCATTTTCATATGTTGCTGTCTCCATTTAGAAAGTTATTAAAGTGTGTCTTAATCCTGATATGTTTTAATGCAAGTCTGGAGAGGTTCCAGTTAATATCATACTTTCGGGTGGGGCATACTTGAAAGTTTTTAGTTGTCTGAATGATTAGAGGTGTGGATTTGCAGTTTGGAGAAAGGCTTTTAAAATCCAGATTATTATTTTTTTTTATTATTTATCTTTCAGTTTTAAATAAAATATTACATTCTTATATATGGGGTTGCATACTTCTTTAGCAAGCTGAATTTTCAGTTCTGCTGCAGTGATCTAGATTCTAGAACCTTTGGTTTGTGTGTATGTATATAATATAAAAAGCGGTTCTTCCCTACTGCTATTAATATGATCACCATCAAATTGTGTTGCTGTAATGGTAGTCTGTGCACTTGATTATCAGTTAAATTGTATTGGTACCATAACGTGTGTGTGTGTGTGTGTGTGTGTGTGTGGTTTTTTTTTTTTTTTTAAGAATCTCCTTGTGACTAACCCTGGTTCTCTCTAGGGGGGCCTCATATTTGTGCAGAGTAAGGCTTTCTTTGCACATGTCTGTAGCTTGGTGCTGGTTTTATATTCCTGTACAGTCCAATACCCTATTGTTGGCAATCCAATGCTCATTTGTCCGTGTATGACTGGAAAGATAATACTGACCAAACTTCATGAGAAATATTGCCCTTTGTAACTGTAATGTTAAAGATCAGCCATTAATCTTAATATCTGTTTTAGACTTGTTTGTGTATAGCCTTAAAACCTAGAGGCAAAATTAAGTGTGGCTCTTATTCCCATTGTGCTTTTTTTTATTTTTTTTATTTAAAGCTGTCACTTTGTCTTACTCCAAAATAAGATTGACGAATTTTAGTGCTACAAAATTAACTTGTCATTTTTGCATTTGTTTCTTATATTTTCTGCAATAAATATATTAACTAATAATGCCTTTGGTGCTTTTTACTGATCATAATGACTTTAACCTATATATTTGCTCTGACATAGTTGTAATTCACAGAGGATAATTCAGACATCTCCCATCCCCCTCCACATTCCCCCTTCCCTCCCCCCCCACACCCCATGTCCTCAAAAGCTCTTTGTTGGCATTACTTTGTCCCCCTGCATTCGATTAACATGTGGGGCAAGTGTGCATTTAATTCCTGGGACATGAATAAGCTTTTGGTTTTCTGTACATATTTTGCACAGAGACCTTTCTGGTCACTTATATAGTATCTTTGTATTTCTATTTGACCTAATTATCTTGCCTGAGTTTTAGTTTAAAAAAATTATTTAAAAAAATCCCCTTTTCTTTTTACCTCTTGAGGGTCCGTTATTTTTCTTTATTGTGGTTTCCGTGTTTCTCCTTTCTCCTACTCTTTCCATGTGGCCTTGTCTCCAGTGTGCCAGACTGTCCTTTGTCTTGGTTAAAATCTTTTTTTGAAGCTTGGGGCTGTCTGGTTTCAGGCCTAGTCCCATTTTCAGTCATTTGGATCTCACTAATTGCCATTTGTGTTTTTTATTTTCCTTTTAGGAGCTGGTGGAGGCAATGATATTCAGTGGTGTTTTTCTCAGGTGAAAGGAGCTGTGGAAGATGATGTGTCAGAGGGTAAGTTGCATTCATTTAGGAATTTCCCTGTGTATAAAGAGATCACTGACAATGTTCTGCTGCTTTTAAAAATTATACAACTCAAGAAAAATACTTCAGTTTTTATAAAAGCTATGTTTAGCTGGAGAGAAAGTTATTTGTGTGTGTTTTTTTTTTATTTGTGCTCACGGACCAAGGATAACTGGGACAAATATATCATTATTTTATTATAGATCATAGGGATTGACCGATAATTACTTTTTTCTAGAGCCGATACAGATAATCTGTGCACTTTTAGGCCGATAGCCGATAACTTACCAATATTCTGTACATTTACCTTTTTTTTTAAAGAAACAATTTGTAAACAAATAAGCAAATTTTTTAATTTTTGTTTTAAGAATATTTTCCTTCCCAGTCCCTTAGTGTTCTTTTACCCTCACATCCCATCCATATCCCTTAGTGGTCCTTTTCCCTCCCTGGTGTGTAGCGTGGCCAACTGGAGCAGACTGTGGTTACTGTACCTGGCTGGACTGACAGGAAACTCTCTCTCAGTGAGCACTTCCTGTCAGGCTGGCCAGGTACAGGAAACTGAAGCTCCTGTACCGCGGTATGCTCTACTCAACCACGCTACACTGAGGGACTGGTTGGCGGGAGCGCTGTGGGCTTCCTTCCTGCTGGTCACTCGACTCTTGCAACCCCACAGCTCATACGCCTTAAGACGGTCGCCTTATGGAAGCGCGTGCCCTGGGCCACCACTGCCTCTCACGTTATTGGCAATATCGGAATCAATAATGGGCAGTATTATATATTTGCCAGAATCTAGAATATCGTCCGTTGTGTTTTTTTTTTGTTTTTTTTTTTAAATATATATTGGCCAAACCGATAATTGGTCGATGCCTAATAGATAGTAGAAGAAAACCATTAGGAACCTCCAGAAAGCAAACATGTTCTGTTTTGAGACAAATTAAATTGTAAGTTAACAATGCATCATGACTCATACCTTGGGATACCTTCTGTCCCTTATAGGAAGGAGGTGTAAGTCAGTTGATCTTATTGAGAATGAGGCCTATGACATAGATGCTATAGCTGGTGCTCTTGCTATTGAGCTGCCTCATCAACTTAAATCATGATCCATCATGTGGTGAGGAGTCAAACGTTTACATACAGTTCACTTCAGATTACCAGGATCCCTTTGGTCTTCAATTATTTTGCCAAAGTGAATTTCCTATTCTGTTTTATCAGTATCAGTTTTTTGTCAGTGTGGACATTAGCTGAGATGGTAATATTGTTATGGTGCTTAGCATCTTAAAGCTTATCTCAATGTAAAATTGTGATTCTAGAAGTTACCTAGACCCTTTCATCTCAATGAAGTAGTTGCGGTGCAGCAGCCCTGTCCTTTTAACTCTGCTATGTAAAACACTGCAGTTTTTTTTTTTTTTTTGCATTGTTTACATTGCAGGGTTAAATCCACTTCTAGTGACTTACATACTAATGACCATTAGAGGTACTTCCTCTGCACCAACAGAGTAAAGTTTGTGAAAGCCCATAGGAAAGCAGTTAATACAGTGCCTTCCTAAGAAGAAGCTTGTATTTGCATGTGGCGTCAGGTCCCCAGTGCTTAACTATGAGGATTATTGGGCCATACCTCCTCAATGATATTGCAGGTAGGTAGGATATCCTTTTGTGTTTCAATAAATTCAGATTGACACTTGTCAGAGCAGCATGGCTCTGTAATAGAACAGATTGTCGCTTTTGTCCTTTACAGTTTATCCAACAATGGCCAGAGCTTGAATTGAACAGTAATCCCTGAGAGAGTTTGTGTAATAGTTGGTTGTACCAGTGGTTCAAGAATAGGGAACATGCAGTGTTGAGATCACAAAGCCAAGAGAAAATGATCGTGTAGACTTCTATAAACACGCAGATTTTATTGGCTTGGCCAAAGTCCATCATACAGGCAGAGTTTGGCACTAGCCTGAGTACTTGTGATGTGGGTGCATCTGTCATTTTATTCTTGTACACAGGGGATCAGGGAGGTATTTGTTGTTGCAGTTAAAGATTATTTACGTGTGTGTTTTGTCAGTGTCCTTTTTTTAAACGAGTTCTGCACACCATGAGATGTATTGCATGGGTTAGAGTAATGTCTATAAATAGGTCTGAGTGAATGATGCAGCCATTGTAACTTTGAAACAGATCATTTTACCTTGTCTTTTGTGGCTATATGTATATGGAGGGACATGCAGCCAATCTTTGTTCTAACAGTCCTTTTATATAGCTCTTATCAAAGTATGTTTCTGATTGGATTTCACCCATTCTTTTAATAATATTAAAATAGTAAACCACTAATCACATTTAAAGGGAAACTATAGTGCCAGGAAAACAAACTCCTTTTCCTTGCACTGTATCTTCACCTTCTGTCAAGAACCCCCTCAGCGGTGCTGAAAGGGTTAATAACAGTCACTTACCTGGATCCAGCGCCGATGTCCCTAGGCGCTGGCTCAGCTCCACCCATGCTCCTCGTCCACTGGCGGGAGAGACCTAATGCTCATGCGCGTCAATCGCCATAGGAAAGCATTAAAAAATGCTAGACGTCCTCAAGCGTCGTTTAGACGACCAAAAGTCGTCTAAGAACCCGGAAGTCCCTCTAATGGCTCTGATATATATATACACACACACACCCCATTATATAACAGATATTTTTACTTACCGTAAATTTTTTTTTATTTTATTTTTTTAATATGGTGGCAGTACTACTGGGTTTTGCTCCTCCCTGTGGACAAGACATCTAACAAGTAATTAAAGATCAAAAAGACCCTCCCCCTTGCCCTATAAAATGATGTACCACAAAACCTACCCCATACGTGACAAAAAAAAGAAACACAGACAAAATATATACTGCAAAATTTATTTAATAAAGAGGGAGGGAAGCAGTACTGCCACCATATTAAGAAAAAAAGAATTTACGGTAAGTAAAAATTTGTTTTTTTTTTGTCATATGGTGGCAGTACTACTGGGATATAGCAAGATCCCCAACTGGGCGGGACTTGGGCCACCACAGCTTATAACACCTTACGCCCAAAAGCTGCTTCAGAGGCAGAGAATATGTCTAGCCGATAGTGCTTGATAAAAGTGTTAAAAGACTACCAGCATGCTGCCTTGCAAATGACCTCTGGAGATGCAAGTGCTTTTTCTGCCCATGAAGTAGCCATTGCTCGAGTAGAATGGGCCTTAAGTGTAGCTGGAGACTGAAGACCTGCTGTAGAGTACACCAATTCTATAGCTTAAATGAGCCAACGGGATAGGGTACCACGGGAAGCCACATTCCCCTTGAGGTGACCCTGAAAATTAATAAATAGATGATCCGAAATTCTGAATTCTTTCGTTCTGGATAGGTATACAAATAAAGCTCTTCTGATGTCCAATTTCTGCCATTTGAGCTCTTGAGGAGATGAAGCTTCGCTATAGAACGAAGGTAAAATAAATCGGCTGATTAATATTCTTAGAAGATAACAGTTTGGGTCTTGGATAAAGAACAACCTTGTCTTGGTGGAAATTGGTGAATTTATCCGAGGAGGACAGAACATGAAGTTCTCCCACTGTGATGGCTACCAGAAATGAAACCTTAAGAGACAAAACTTTTAATGGAACTTCCAAAGGTTCAAAGGGATGAACACTAAGAGCTTGTCGGACCAGGGAAACACAGATCGTCTAGGCGGTTGTTTGAGGCTGTTGGACCTGAAAAATCTTCTGATGAAAACATTGGAGGCCAAATCCCTAATTAGAAAATAACTTAAGGCTGATATTTGAACTTTGAACGTGGAGATTCCCATACCAGCTGCAAAACCGTCTTGTAAAAAATGGAGAATGTTATCTATGGATGGATGTATGTAAAACCGGGCACTGGTGTTCTTTACACCAGTGGAGAAACTTAGACCAAATCTAAGACCACACACACACACACCATTATACACATACACACACACACACACACACACACCATTATACACATATGCATACATACACACACCCCATTATACACACATACATACGCACACGCACCATTATACACATATACATATGCACACGCACCATTATACACATATACATACATACATACGCACACGCACCATTATACACCTATACATACATACATACGCACACGCACCATTATACACCTATACATACATACATACGCACACGCACCATTATACACATATACATACATACGCACACGCACCATTATACACATATACATACATACATACATACGCACACGCACCATTATACACATATACATACATACATACATACATACGCACACGCACCATTATACACATATACATACATACATACATACGCACACGCACCATTATACACATATACATACATACATACATACATACATACATACACACGCACCATTATACACATATATATATGTATACATACATACGCACGCACACGCACCATTATACACATATACATACATACATACGCACGCACACGCACCATTATACACATATACATACATACGCACACGCACCATTATACACATATACATACATACATACGCACACGCACCATTATACACATATACATACATACATACGCACACGCACCATTATACACATATACATACATACGTACGCACACGCACCATTATACACATATACATACATACGTACGCACACGCACCATTATACACATACATACATACGTACGCACACGCACCATTATACACATACATACACACACACACACACGCACCATTATACACATATGCATACATACATACGCACACGCACCATTATACACATATACATACATTCATACATACGCGCACGCACCATTATATACATACATACGCGCACGCACCATTATATACATACATACGCGCACGCACCATTATATACATACATACGCGCACGCACCATTATACACATATACATACATACGCACACGCACCATTATACACATATACATACATGCACACGCACCATTATACACATATACATACATACATACGCACACGCACCATTATATACATACATACATACGCACACGCACCATTATATACATACATACATACGCGCACGCACCATTATATACGCACACACTACACGAACACACTCTGCATTCACTATGCGCGCACACTACAGAAAAAACACACTCTGCATTCACTATACGCAATACAAACAGCTCCCCTGTCTAAACACACTGCATCCACTACATGTGACATGTATATTTTGTGCATTTACCTTTTAGAAATAGTTTAATTTTTCAAAATGGTAAATGTACAGAATATCGGTAAATTATCGGCCTGAAAGTTAACAGATTATCGTATCGGCTCTAAAAAAGACAGGTTTTGCAATGAATTCTCACAAAACCAGAAAGTAAGTGATACTTTCAATATGTTTTATAGTAGTGTTTAGCCTTTTTTAAGCTGCAAATTTTGGGGAATTTGAATTGGTTTTTCTGCTGTAGAAGTGATAACTGGCATTTCTTATGCATTAAATAATGCACATTAGTGCTTTCGGAGCAAGAACATATCTACTGCATGATGGTATGGAAGTTCAGAAAGGATTGGTTAATCTATGGAACAAAATTAAAGGAACCCACTTGTAGTTCTGGTGCCGAGAATGCCTAGTCACCCCCTCAGAGTACCTGCTTACTGAATCTTTTAAAGATGGCAGCTTACCTGGGTGCCCAGTTCTGCTGCCTCCATTGTTGTTCAGAATAGAAGGAGCTAAACTTGTTTTGGTGCTATAGAACCTCTTTAAATTATTAAGAATTGAAGGGTGTTACACCCAGACACACCGCATAAAAACCTAACTTACACATTGCTTTAGAAATGTGGGTCCCTGGAGTTCTTTCCAGTTAAAGCAGCTTTTTCGCTTCTCAGTATTTCATAAATATCTAATCTTTATGAAATACAGATGCTGAGTGTGTTGGAATTTAAATGAAATTCCAGTGCAATCCAAGATGTCATAAGACCAGGTAAGAATTCTTATGTCATCTTATGGTAAAGGCTGCAGAACTTTGCCGTCTACTTTTGTCCATTCCCAACATCCATCACAAGTGACATCTGTGGGATGCAGGCTTGGTCTCTCCTCTATTGAGGCCAGAATCCTTTAACCCCTTAAGGACCAAACTTCTGGAATAAAAGGGAATCATGACATGTCACACATGTCATGTGTCCTTAAGGGGTTAAAGACTTCAGTGTTTGCTTGCAGTCCTTGGCAAATGAGGCACCAGGTGCAAAGGAGATCTTTAGGATGATGATGGCCCTGAAAGTGACATTTGCTTTTAAGTGTATTGTGAACAGGAATCTATAGTTCTTCAATTCTAACAAACACAATGTACTAACCCTGACCTAAAACAGATATTAAAGGGACCAATTGGCTGATTTTATGATTTGAATTTTCCATTTCGTCAGACGTGGTGACTGTTCTGGCATTTTCCTCTTCAGTTCTGTCTAATTTCCCCGCCCAAAGGGAACTCCCAGACCAGTTTTCCTAGTCTCCTGTCGCCACAAGTTTGTAGTTTTATTTTAGATCGGAAACAAACTATATACATTCATATTCCTGATTTAGTCCTAATGTGTGGGGTTCTCTTTCCCTAGTAGTTGTTGCGTAAAGGTACATGGTAGGCTACAATTGATCCATTTTATAGATTCAAACATTCAATCTCAAAGGATATTTATCTTAGAAATTTGTATTGCATGTATAACCATATGGTTTGTGAGTGTTTTTGTTGATTTAGGGTTCCATCTGTCAGGAATTTTTTTTAAGTAAAATGAATCTCTAGTTTAAGTACCTATTACCACACAGAAATGCTTCCAGGCTATGTCCTTGCTTGACTGGGTCACATTAATTGCCTAAGATTATTAAAGGGTTACTCAATGCATCATAACCACTACTTGACAAATCCCAGGTCGCCATGGCGACTAAAAATTTTGCCCTGGTGCCTGGGATTTGTCAGCTTTTTATCTAAAACGGCCGACTGGGCAAATAATGGAGCCGGCTGTCCACCCGCGGGAGCATGCTACAACCCTCAGTGAGCCGGCCACCCTGGGCTCTATGGAGGCTGCCGGCTTAGTGAGCGTTGTAGTTGTCCGCCCTCGGCTTTATGGAGGCTGGGGCAGCGTGCAAGGTAGCAGTGATCTTCCAGCGGCTCCTTTCTGCTCCCTTGCTCTGTTTAATGATGCCGATAGCTGGAATAGGACGTCATTCCGGCCCCGGTATCACGTAGCAGAGAGAAGCTGCAGGTAGATTACTGCTCCCTCGCATGCAGGAAGAGAGAGCATCCCCACTGGACCCGGAGGAAAGTGCACTCAGCTGTCCCAAAGGTATGGAAGCTGGGTGGATTAAAATAAAAAAATTAAATTTGTGTGTGCGCCTCTGTCAGTGTGTGTGTGTGTCTGTTTAGATCCCTCCCCCCAATGATCACATGATTGGTGTTTTTACTCACCTTTTTTTCCCTACGCCGTGCAGGTTTTGCCGTGGCTTGTCCCGCCTCTATTGCCGAGTTCATCAATCTTTATGATCTCAGCTAAGCCAATGCTTTCCCATAAAAAAGCATTGGGTGAATATTGAGCATGTTCTGTATGGGTAACATTCAGCGCCTCCATGCAGAGCACTGACACAGGACTCTCTGGTGGCCGTCTGTGTGACAGCCACTAGAGGTCTTAGTAGGCAGCAATGTAAACACTACCTTTTCTCTGAAAATACAGCCTTTACATTGCAACGGCTATAGGCACCAGAACCACTACATTAAGCTATAATGGTTCTGGTGACTATAGTCTCTGTTAAAAAAACAACTTTTTTTTAGCTGGTTCTTTGATTCCGAACAAATTTGTCAAGCCCTTTGCTAGGAGTACCCTGGCCCCTTTTACCCTGTCATCCAGTGACTACATTCGACTACTGCAGAGTTGCAGAAGGTGGATGTCTTATCTTGCCGGCCATTCACTGGCGGAGGGCTTCAGCTGACCAATCTTCAGCCAATGAATGCATTTATGTGCATAAAACTATGCACATAATGGATGTCAGCCAGCATTGTATCCTTTGACACTGCTAGAGGTAGAATTGCATCTCCGGTAGCAAAGGTGCTAAACTGTGTATGTGCAGTGTTTCAAAGCGAAATGCTTCACATACAGACTACAGCACCATGACCACTTCAAATCACTGAAATAGTGTTAAACTAGAGGTATAGTTAGTCTCTATGAAAGCTGAAATGAAAATAAACATTTTATTTTTTTGGAGGAAAAAGAGGGCTGGGTAAGCAATGATTATAAATGTGGAGAATTTCAAGAATTTAAACCATTATTTTGCCATGCCTTCTATTATTGCAATGTGAGTATATCTCATGTCTGATTCTTAACTACTAGCCAAGCAAGGCCTGAAAGTTAGAGGCATAGAACCAGTATAGGGGTGGGTGAGGTTGTTGTGCGCATTTCTATAATTGCAGGTATGTGTGTTTGTCAATAAATGCCAGGATATTTTTGATGGTTAGTATACACTTGTGCTTACTGCTGCCACTCTGAGAGGTGTGTTCAATAGAGCGCATACTAGACTTGCATACTGGCCAAAAAAAACAGTGTACAAAACATACAAAACCCTCCAGTCACAGAGCACATCAAAATGATGAGCACTAAATGGGTGGCTATTTTCAAACACACATTCCTATGTGTGCATGGCTTACATTTTTTGAGTCCTATGCTACTAGCTAGACCAGGATTAGGCAAACTATGGTACGTTTGCCATGCACAGCACTTGAAATGTCTTTGCACGGCACTCAAGACTGCTAGAGCCAAACAAGCTCTGGCCTATCAGGAGTCCCAGTGAAACTTCAGATATTTGCGAATACAAAAATGTGGTGAAGGGCAATCTTCGATTTATGCATTACAGCACGCAGAAGAAGTGATCTCATATCCCCTCCTCCCAGCACTTTGAATAGGAATCCACACTGTAGTAGAGCAGCCCGCAGCGGCTGTTGCAACTTCTGCCCTTGACCAGTACCTGGCCAGCCTGGTCCCCATTGGAACCCAGGGAAGCCACCCACACTGCTAGATTTTCACAGAATAACCCTCTGCTCATACAAATAATACAAACATACACACAATTCCCACAAACTCAACACCACTTACAATCCACATGCAGCCTCTTACATGCAATACCCCAAACAGCCCCTCAAATACACACACTACCAAACACACAATGGGACATATCCATTTACACACAATTCCACAAGCAGCCACCATACACAGGACACATTCATAGGTATCATACACAACACCACAAACTACTTGTGAACATATACAAAATAATAGCTCATATACTCACAAATACTATACAAAGCAACTCTATTATAAATAACACAAGCAGAAAACGGCAACAAACACTCCTCAATTTAAAAAAAAAAATAGGACCTGCACGCTACGGGACATCACAATCTTATTTCGGCACAGTGCTGCTAAAAGGTTGCCTACCCCTGAGCTAGACCATGAAGGTTACTCACCACTACCAGTTTGGAGGGTTTATGGGTGAATTCTACTAGCCATCCTGAATTTTCGTATGCCCAAGGCTAGTGTTGAGCGGAAATTTTGATTTGTGTGTATAGACATATGTCCTCCTTGTGCTCTTATTGAAAATCCTTTTTTCAGCTGGAGACTGCCTACGTGCACACACTTGATTTGGAACAAAGAACCCAGTTATATACTGCTGTTCTTTCATTTCCACTCATCTCAGTGTTGCACACTCTAGCTGCTTCCATGAGCAGTAGTATTTGATGACATTATGCAGTCTGTGACTTGCTTAAAATGGATACAGTGCTATACATTGCTTTTAGTTTACTCAATTCAATGGCATATTGGCTGTATTAATCTATGGCCTTTACCTGCTTGGTATCCACAGCAAAACATTTACTTCTTACTATCTGTGCTGCTACATAAGTGGTATAAAATACTTGTATGCTGTCTTCTGATATTTAAAAACCATGTTTATATCCGACTTTTTATTGGTGGAAACTTAAAATGTGGTTTGTTATTGTATGTCTGTCCATTGAATTGTGAATCGTTCATATGAGCAGTTTGATTTTATAGGGAGGCATAATCATGTGACCCTAACTTTAAAATACTTTAAAGACAATCATAATGTGTAGTTGCTTTTTTTTGTGAATTTTTATTTTTGTTGTGCATCTGCATTACAATACATTTTGCTAAATGAGAATGTGGAGGGGGGCCTACTGTCCTCCCTCTTCCCCATCTCCCACCCCTGAGCAGCTGGGGAACGACGATGACCACCTATTGTTGTTTGGAATTTTCCCACGCTGTGTAAAATGACACAGAGCATTCTGGTTGGATTTCAAGCCAACCAATCAGTGCCGTGACAGGTAAATGTAGAGACTTGCCTGTCAGTCTCTTCATTTACCTGTCAGAGCACTCTGTTTGGTTGGCTTAAACCAACCAATCAGAGTGCTCTGAGCCTAATTGCAGCGATATCCTGCCTATGCTGGGCCGGGAGATCGTCCTCCTCTCCCTTCCACAACGCCTGTCAGGCCACTTAAGTTTTCACATTAGTTTTTATTCTTTATGAGTAACTTAAAGTTCTGAATGAAAAATTATGCATCATAGCCGCTTGCATCATTTTCCTACATCTTGGAAGAGAAAGATGTTCTATCTTTTAATCATAAAATTCCTGCTATTACATTGGCACACACGAAATAAAATGACTTTCAGATCTTCAATGTGATGAGCATTTCAGTCATGCAGGACCTGATGAGGTTCAATAGACTGTAACCCATGAGTGGGCTGCTTTTCATCTGCATAATGGTCGCAGGTAGAGTCCTCTCCAGTCGCCCTCTCCATTCACCAGTTGCATTGTGTAATGCTTAGGCTGACACAAAGCATGAGGCTCAATGCACCAATACATAGTGATTGTCACAAGTATTTTTTGTTACTGAGATCCCACTGCATTGTTTGATATACTCTAAAATGTTCACCTCTGTCACTCAACCATATATGGTTCGGAAAAACTGGCCAAAATTATGGCCAGTTTTTAAATGTTTAAAATTCAATTTGTGATATGCAGGTTATGTAAACACTATTTCTTGAGTTTCTGTCCCCAAGGAAAATTTCTTAAAGGACAACTAAAGTCAGCCAGATCATCTATTCTCAGTGAAGTGGTCTGTATGCAATGGTGCTGTCGTTCTAACCTGCAGTGTACAACACCTCTACTAGTTGTCTTCCATATATGCACTAGAGCAACAGAGTAAAATGTGTTCACATGACGTGCAACTCAAAGGAAAGTATTGAATTCAAAGCTTTCCTATGAGAAGAATTTGTATGTACGTACTGCCTGTTGTAGTTATGTGAGAAGTACTATTGAGCCATTCCTGGTAATGGGGAAAGTTGGTTTAAAACAGTTTGCCTTGTTACTTGGGTTCCAGTGGAACACAGGCTCTCCTCTACAGTAGGCTTAAGTAATCTTGCTTCTTCAGAGCTGCAGAAATCAGATTCTATTCCTGCTATTCCTTCATTGCTGAGCGTTCTTTGCCAATGAATGCCACTCTTCGTGTAGAATTTTCCACAGAATTGAGTTTAGCCAGACAGAACTCTTGTTCTGAATTGGCTAATGGTGCCCCAGTGACACTGCTGTAGGTGGAGTTGCAACTCTGCCAACAAAAGGTTAAACTTGGCACGTGCGTTTCATAGTAAAATGATGCACATACAGACTCCAGATGCCATGATATCCAAAAATCACTTGTCCTATAGGTTCATTACCTCCTCCCCCCCTTCTTGGTTCCTTTATTGCAGAGTCTTTCATTTAGAATTGATTATATCCTGCTCTGTTAATTGCTTCCTAGAGTCTCCTACAGGTGTAGACAACCTTTGGCAGTCCAGATTTTGTCAATTACATCTCCCATGATGCCATACCAGAATTGTGGCTGAAAGCCCATTATGTGAGATTTAGTCCATAAACTCTTGTGTTGAAAGTTACCTACCCCTGCTACTGTGTGTGATTACATTATAATTTAAAGTTAAAAATAAAGTTAAAGGGACACTCCAGTGCCTAAATTTTATAAAACTATTTAAAAAAATTTAAACTCCACTATTTAGTAGATATACCCCAAATAATGTGTGCATTTTTAATTAGGTATATCTAAATATATATGTATTGGGGGGTGACAAGCTGCTCTTTTCCTCGTAATTTTGTTGTATTCAGGAGTTGTGTATTTTGTTGTACCTAATGTAACAATGCAATGATTTGTGGACCCAGGACATACTTGAAAACGAGAGAAATCTCAATGTATCTTTCCTGGTAAAATATTTTATAAATAAAAATAAATAAGTCTGTTGAAATAACAAAGCACTTTTTGAAGATGAGGTTTGTATTTGAGACCGACAATTGAGACTGAGATGTCAGTTGTGTGGTTATAGAAAAAAGTTATAGATGCTGCACATGATAACCAAACTCTGGAGTGGCTACACTCCTAGAATTAAATAAGTGGAAGGAAAGGGCAAGGCACTCCATGTTCTATATATCTGCATTTAATCAGCTCACTAGAGTGGAAATAATTCTCTCCTGTAGTTTTATGGCAAACTGTTCATTGTTTGTATTTACTTGTGTTCATTGCAGATATTAAAGTATAGCGCTGTATATTTTAACCACGTACTGTTCAAAAACTCGCTGAATGTATTGTAATGCCACAAATATCGTTGTTGCCTTAATTTGGAATGTGCCAGACAAGTTTTAATCAGAGCCGTTATGGACAAGGGACAATTGCTTCTGCACTTATCTTTTTTTATTCCTGATTGTGATAGAATGGTATCAATGCATTGGCTGTGGGAGTTATGATTAAAAAAACATTTCTAAAGCAAAGTAGAAAAAAATAAAGCAGCCAGTGCGCGAAAAAAAAATAAAAAAAAGCATTGGTTTGCATGGTGAGTGCCCCAATGTTAAACCACAACTCCTGAATTTTGTTTATGAATTATGTGACTCCACTGTGCTATGACCAACAACTCAAGTTTAACCTTCAGTTGTTGGTTATGTATTGTTTTTTTTATGCAATGTTTACCAGTTCTATATTTGGTTAGGTTGAGCAGGCTGCGTGTACAGTCACAAACTCTCAAAAATAAAATAAAATTGCTTTGACGTAGGAAGTGAGCTGAGTTTTAGCTAACTAATGATAATGCTGGCATTACAAATCGGGACGTTGAGAGGTTAAACACCGTATATGCAGTATTTCATAGAGAAAAACTGCTCATACATACTTCAAGTCTCCTGATCACTTCAGATAAATGAAGTGGTCATGGTGCTTGGAGTAACCTTTTATTGGGACATCTTATGGTACTTAGTCTGGCTGTAGTGATGAAGGTGCTAAAACAATGATTGAAACTGTTTAAAAAAATAAATAAAAAAATTGTTTGGTTTTTTTTCTCAATTGCAGCTGATATCATCTCTACGGTAGAATTTAATCATTCTGGAGAGTTGCTGGCCACAGGAGATAAAGGTGGACGAGTAGTTATCTTCCAGCAGGAGGTCAGTATGGACAATCTGTTTGGACCAGTTCAACTTGTACATGTGATGTCAAAGGAACAATCCAAGCATCATAATCACTAGAATGCAATGAAACACAGGTTTTGGGTTTTTTTCAAGCAGTTTGGCAAAAATGCAACAGTGACTGATGGTGGGGTCAGTAAAATTGCAGCAGTTATAAGCATCTATGCCAAGAACTTCTATGCACTATAATTTATGAAATGAGTGCTTGGACAATTCTCCTTTAAATCCAGTAAGAAGTTTTTAACCACCACAAAGATATTATGCATGATAAAACATTACAATGTCCTTTTAAAGGGTTACTATAGTGCCAGGAAAACAAAGCCTTTTCCCTGCCACTATAGGTTCCTACAGTGCCCCTCTCCATCGTTCCCCAACTCCCACGGTGATGAGGGGGTTAAAACCCTTTCAGTCGCTTACCTGAATCAAGCGCCGGGTCAGGGTTTGCCCATGCTCCTCTGGCTGATGTCGGCGGGGGAGACCTAAGGCGCATGCATGGCAAGCACCACGCTCACATTAGGGTTCCCTATACAGGGAGTGCAGAATTATTAGGCAAGTTGTATTTTTGAGGATTAATTTTATTATTGAACAACAACCATGTTCTCAATGAACCCAAAAAACTCATTAATATCAAAGCTGAATATTTTTGGAAGTAGTTTTTAGTTTGTTTTTAGTTTTAGCTATGTTAGGGGGATATCTGTGTGTGCAGGTGACTATTACTGTGCATAATTATTAGGCAACTTAACAAAAAACAAATATATACCCATTTCAATTATTTATTATTACCAGTGAAACCAATATAACATCTCAACATTCACAAATATACATTTCTGACATTCAAAAACAAAACAAAAACAAATCAGTGACCAATATAGCCACCTTTCTTTGCAAGGACACTCAAAAGCCTGCCATCCATGGATTCTGTCAGTGTTTTGATCTGTTCACCATCAACATTGCGTGCAGCAGCAACCACAGCCTCCCAGACACTGTTCAGAGAGGTGTACTGTTTTCCCTCCTTGTAAATCTCACATTTGATGATGGACCACAGGTTCTCAATGGGGTTCAGATCAGGTGAACAAGGAGGCCATGTCATTAGATTTTCTTCTTTTATACCCTTTCTTGCCAGCCACGCTGTGGAGTACTTGGACGCGTGTGATGGAGCATTGTCCTGCATGAAAATCATGGTTTTTCTTGAAGGATGCAGACTTCTTCTTGTACCACTGCTTGAAGAAGGTGTCTTCCAGGAACAGGCAGTAGGACTGGGAGTTGAGCTTGACTCCATCCTCAACCCGAAAAGGCCCCACAAGCTCATCTTTGATGATACCAGCCCAAACCAGTACTCCACCTCCACCTTGCTGGCGTCTGAGTCGGACTGGAGCTCTCTGCCCTTTACCAATCCAGCCACGGGCCCATCCATCTGGCCCATCAAGACTCACTCTCATTTCATCAGTCCATAAAACCTTAGAAAAATCAGTCTTGAGATATTTCTTGGCCCAGTCTTGACGTTTCAGCTTGTGTGTCTTGTTCAGTGGTGGTCGTCTTTCAGCCTTTCTTACCTTGGCCATGTCTCTGAGTATTGCACACCTTGTGCTTTTGGGCACTCCAGTGATGTTGCAGCTCTGAAATATGGCCAAACTGGTGGCAAGTGGCATCGTGGCAGCTGCACGCTTGACTTTTCTCAGTTCATGGGCAGTTATTTTGCGCCTTGGTTTTTCCACACGCTTCTTGCGACCCTGTTGACTATTTTGAATGAAACGCTTGATTGTTCGATGATCACGCTTCAGAAGCTTTGCAATTTTAAGAGTGCTGCATCCCTCTGCAAGATATCTCACTATTTTTGACTTTTCTGAGCCTGTCAAGTCCTTCTTTTGACCCATTTTGCCAAAGGAAAGGAAGTTGCCTAATAATTATGCACACCTGATATAGGGTGTTGATGTCATTAGACCACACCCCTTCTCATTACAGAGATGCACATCACCTAATATGCTTATTTTGTAGTAGGCTTTCGAGCCTATACAGCTTGGAGTAAGACAACATGCATAAAGAGGATGATGTGGTCAAAATACTCATTTGCCTAATAATTCTGCACTCCCTGTAGTAAAGCTTTGTTTCTATGCTTTCCTATTGAGATTTGATGCTGAATGTCCTCATGAACAGCAACTTTTGGTCGCCTAACCACCCGGAAGTCCCTCTAATGGCTGGTTGTTAGCGTTAATCCAGAGAGGTAATTATTGCAATTTCTCAAACTGCAATAATTACTACTGTGGGGTTAAGGGACATGTAACATTGCTCACAGACCACTTCAATAAGCTGTATTGGTTTGGGTGCCTACAGTTGTAGCGGGATGGAGAACTCAAGTATACTTTTTATACCATTTTGTTCGGCTGTCCGTATGCCCAGTTCGTTTACCAAATCCCCCTCGCTGTGTGGCCCCTTGTTCGCACCTTCATAATCACCGTCCACCCTTGGCTGTTAACCACAGATTGGTTATAAGTTCAAGTGCTTTCCCTGTGTGGCTGCCATTTTGTCTCCCGGACGAGGGCAGCGGTAGATGGTTGTGGACGGCATGGAACTATTTTTGGAAACGCGTCCCGGCGAACACCTGGGAAGCTGGTACCGCTGCCCATCCAACTTCATAAGTTAGGAGAATGGCGTCCAGGAGGCATAAACTACCGAACAGTGGGAGCATTCGTACCCTAACAGCCAAGGAATGGATTTATCAGTGTTTTTTTATTCAAATGGCATTCCCGAACCACCGATGGGATCTGAGTGATATTTTGGCAACGTTTACGCTCAGATCGAAGCTAGTCGGTGATATCACTTTCGTGGGGTTCTGAAGTTATTAAAATGGATTTTTAAAAAATATTGTTAAAAAATTGTGACTGAGAAACCCCATGCTAGGGGCAATGTATAAAATCCGTGTGTGGCAGGAATAAAACCAGTTGTACTTCCAGAACTGTCTCGTCCAGTTGCTGGGGAGGAAACTTGGTGTTTTCTTGTTCCTGATTTTACTCTTCCTGATTTTAGCCCTACTAGGGCTCTGCTACAATAGTGTCCCTTTAAGGAAAGTAATAGAAACCAATGTAACATGTTGGTCTTTTTGTTTTTCCCCTGCAGAGTAAGAGTCCATATCATAGGGGGGAGTATAGCGTTTACAGCACTTTTCAGAGTCACGAGCCAGAATTCGATTACTTGAAGAGTTTAGAAATTGAAGAGAAGATCAACAAAATTCGATGGCTACCCCAGAAAAATGCGGCACAGTTCTTGTTGTCTACAAATGGTAAGTTTCATGTCTTACACTGGCAAGTGCAAAGGTTAATGTTTCATTTTGTTTGTCTAAAGATAGGTCTTGAATTTAAGGGGTGGGCCTCAAAATTGGCAGTTAAGCTTGGAGTGCTGGCCATGGTATAGTGATCCTGTTTATTAGTGGCTGCTTAAAGGACCACTCTAGGCACCCAGACCACTTCAGATTAACGAAGTGGTCTGGGTGCCAGGTCCAGCTAGGGTTAACCCTTTTTTTTTTTTTTTTTAATAAACCTAGCAGTTTCAGAGAAACTGCTATGTTTATAATAGGGTTAATCCAGCCTCCAGTGGCTGTCTCTTGACAGCCGCTAGAGGCGCTTGCGTGCTTCTCACTGTGATTTTCACAGTGAGAAGACGCCAGCATCCATAGGAAAGTGAATGGACTGGCTGAATGCGCGCGCAGCTCCTGCCGTGCATGCGCATTCAGCCGAAGAGGAGAGCTCCTTGCCCGGCACTGGAAAAAAGGTAAGATTTAACCCTTTCCTCTCCATCCAGCCCGACGGGAGGGGGACCCTGAGGGTGGGGGCACCCTCAGGGCACTCTAGTGCCAGGAAAACTAGTGTTTTCCTGGCACTATAGTGGTCCTTAAACATATCTGGTTGCCTGGTGTGAAAAGTAGCTTTCCGGTTCCTGGAAGTTCCATGATCATAAACCCCACCCAACTAGGAGAGAAGCTGCATGGAGTTGTTTTTCAGCTTCTTTTCAGTAATGTTGATCAGAACTAACTGGAGTAGAGTTTTATGTGAAGTGAACTGAATAATGAAATTAGCATGAGTTGCAAGGTGACCTGAGAGAAAGCTGTTAAAATAATGACCGATTGAGCTGTGCCATGGAAAAGGGTCTAAATACACCCTTGCATCCACATACAAACCACTGCACTACATGTTCACACACAGTCCATTAACACTAACCCTAGATTCTGAGATTTCACACACATACACAACAGCATTCATATACCTGCAGATAAACAGTTGAATTCATATTCTGTGCTATGCATATTTCACAACACAGAGTGCAACGAGCACCAAGGCAGTAAACATGACTTGAGTCAGACACAAAAATTGTTAAAACTGGCAAGTACATTTAAGGAATGTAAAGATGTGCAATATGACAATCACAACCCAAACAGCAACAGGAGATACCCATTGACCTAATCAATTATATAATGAAGGCTTGAAATTGGCAAAGTGTGAGTGGGCAATTATATCGAATATTGATTTTAATCAACACAGTTAACCACTTAAGACCGGAGGGCGTACTATTACGCCCTATTTTAGGCGTCTCTAAACGCCGCCGGGCGTAATAGTACGCCCTCCGGTCTTTCATTACTTACCCGGTCGCCGGGACTCCCATGGAGCCCCCCCGTGCTTGCGAGGACCTCACAATCACATGGCCGGGATAGCTGCCTCCTGCATTGCCAGCAGGGGGGGGACTGCCTGTATCGATAGGTGGTCCCCCTGCTGGCTGGAAATAAAATTAAATAAATGTTAAAAGTGTAAAAAAAAAAAAAAGTTTTATTTATTTATAAAAAAAAAAAAGTTTTATTTATTTATAAAAAGTATAAAAAAAAAATATTTTAATATCAAATTACACGTAGACTGATACTGATTAACTATATATAATTGTTATATATATATATATCAATTATATATAATATATATAAAAAATTTATTTAAATACGTTAAAAAATAAAATTAAAAATATATAGATGTGTGTTCTTTCGTTCTAACTGTATTGTGATATTAATATATATTTATATCAAAATACACATAGAACGAAATATATATCTGTATACATATATACATATAGATCACTATATATAAAAAAAAAAAAAATATATATATATATATATATATATATAAACACTTTAATTCTACATATATATTAATTCTAAGATATAAGTATCTTAATTACAATTAGCGGGACCTGCCTGACAACCCATGCCAAAAGTAAAGGGAATTTAATTTGCTAGCACTATATTTAACCCTATAACTTTCCAAGACACCATTAAACCTGTACATGGGGGGTACTGTTCTACTCGGGAGACTTCGCTGAACACAAATATTAGTGTTTCAAAACAGTAAAATGTATTACAACGATGATATCGCCAGTAAAAGTGACGTTTTTTGCATTTTTCATGCACAAACAGCACTTACACGGACGATATTATTGCTGTGATACTTTTTACTGTTTTGAAACACAAATATTTGTGTTCAGCGAAGTCTCCCGAGTACAACAGTACCCCTCATGTACAGGTTTTATGGTGTTTTCAAAAGTTACAGCGTCAAATATAAGGCTTGTGTTTCATTTTTTTCACATTAAAATTCGCCAGATTGGTTACGTTGCCTTTAAGACCCTATGGTAGCCCAAGAATGAAAATTACCCCTATGATGGCATACCATCCCAGGAATGAAATTTACACCCATAATGGCATACCATTTGCAATAGTAGACAACCCAAGGTATTGCAAACGGGGTATGTCCAGTCTTTTTTTTAGTAGCCACTTAGTCACAAACACTGGCCAAAATTGGCGTTTTTTGCATTTTTTCACACACAAACAAATACTAACGCTAACTTTGGCCAGTGTTTGTGACCAAATGGCAACTAAAAAAGACTGGACATAACCCCATTTGCAATACCTTGGGTTGTCTACTATTGCAAATGGTATGCCATTATGGGTGTAAATTTCATTCCTGGGATATTATAAAGTCCCAAAGGCAACGTAACCAATCTGGCGAATTTCAAATGTAACGTGCTATATTTGACCCTGTAACTTCCCAAAACGCCATAAAACCTGTACATAGGGGGTACTGTTTTACACATGAGACATCGCTGAATACAAATGTGTATTTTATTGCAGTAAAAACAAACAGTATTATAACATTGACAGTTAAAATGTCATGTAGAACTAAAAAAAATTACAAAAAATCTTATTTTCTCCCATCTTTTTCATATTAAATTATGTTTCATAGCTAATTATTTGATATTAAATGAAAGCCCTGTTTCCCCTGAATACAATGATATATAATAAGGGTGGGTGCACTTAATATGAAAGAGGTGAATTACGGTTGGACAGACATGTAGCGCAAATGCCAGGTTTTGTTTACATTTTGTTTCGTTCACAACGTGTACATTTGGCTCCGTCCTTAAGGGGTTAAGAACTATGTTGTGCCTTTCTTCTAATTGTTCCTACCAGATCCACCCCTCTGGTGTTTTTCTAAGAACATTTTAGGCCTTTTATTAGCATTTTCTTTGATCTGCACAAATATTTCTTAACCTTAAAATATTGTTGTTTGGTGATTTTTATATGTAATATAGTGTTGGGAAGGACAATTACATGTTTTTCTTTTCAATGTATATTCTCCATTTTAATGTACAGTAATACAACTCCTTATTTCCACTTTAGATAAAACAATAAAGCTATGGAAAATCAGTGAACGTGACAAGAGACCCGAAGGTTACAATCTAAAGGAAGAGAATGGGAGGTATAGGGATCCAACCACTGTAACCACTCTCAGGGTGAGCTCAGTTATCTCTTGTGTCCTATGCTCTTTTTGAACTGTGTAGAAGATACATTAACCATTAATGGCATGTAGTACATTTTATCTGGATAATGACCTCCTTTTTATAGTCCTATTTTATCTTACTTTAGGTTAGTTTTGCACTCTTGAGTGTTGAGAACTATGGTTCTTGGTAGCTGTAGCTGTAGCAATTGGAGTGTCATAAATTGATTTACCTGTCAATTTATTTGTGTACAGATGCATAATACATGGGGTTTGTGAAATTCGACTGATTTTGAAGACCTATGTTTTGTTTAATATCATCCCATTTTTCTCTCTGACATTGACTTCGACATGAATTTTTCTTTTTTAAATCTTTTATTCTGTTTTCTTTTGTAGGTGCCAGTTTTCCGCCCCATGGACCTGATGGTTGAAGCAAGTCCTCGAAGGATATTCGCCAATGCACATACATATCACATTAACTCCATCTCTGTGAACAGTGACTATGAGACTTATCTATCAGCAGATGACCTGCGTGTCAACCTGTGGCATTTGGAGATAACAGACAGGAGCTTTAGTATCCTTCAGTTTATTATTCTTCATTCCACCATGATTCCATATTAATTTCATAGAAAGATCGTACACATTATTCTGATGTTGTGCAAGAAGACATATTGGTCTCAGTGAAGTGACTGCAAATAGTACCTGTGATACTAATGATAAGTCAAAGTGGGTGTGCATGTGTTGAAGCAGTCAGTCAGCATAGAACCACCAGTTTTAGACCCTTTTTCCCATGTGCATTAATTATTTCGATATTCATTTTATCGCCATGTTCGCTGAGATGGAACATATCAAATGTTAGTCACGTGTGGGATAACCTACTCTTTTCATTCATTGCTAAATATTTAAAGGAACACTATAGGGTCAGGAACACAAACATGTATTCCTGACCATCTAGTGTTACAACCATTATCTAGCCTCCCTTGCTCCCTTAAATATAGTAAAATCTTACTTGTATTCAAGTCTGATGGCTCTGCCTGCGTGGCTGATATCATCAGAAGTGACTCTCCGAGCCAATCACAATGCTTTCCAATATAATTGGCTGAAATTGTCAAGGAGGCAGATCAGGAACAGAGCCAGCAAAAGCCAAACACAGCTCTGGCCAATCAGCATCTTCTCATAGAGATGCATTGAATGCATGCATCTCTATGAGGAAAATTCAGTATCTCCATGCAGAGGGTCGAGACCATAAAAGGCAGTGCTGCACACTCTTCAGCACAGCCACAGGAAGAACCTCTAGTAGCCATCTAAAGGAGTGGCCAGCGGATATATCCCTAAACTATAATGTAAACACTGCCTTTTCTCTGACAAAACAGTGTTTACTGCTAAAAGTATGAAGGGAATGATTATACTCACAAGAGCAAGTTCAATAAGCTGTAGTTCTGGTGACTATAATTTCCCTTTAACAATTAAAAAAAACAAAAACCACACACATTGTCTTTTATAATATCCAGGTATTTTATGTGTAATTCCTTCATTCACCTACTTCAGACATCGTAGATATTAAACCTGCTAACATGGAGGAGCTGACAGAGGTGATAACAGCAGCTGAGTTTCATCCACATCACTGCAACACTTTTGTATACAGCAGTAGCAAAGGCACCATCCGTCTGTGTGATATGAGGGAGTCTGCTCTGTGTGATCGCCACTCTAAGTGTAAGTACACTGCCAAGCAAATTGCCTTTGGAATAATGGTGCAAGTGACACTCTAAGCATCAAAACCACCACATCTTAAAGCTGTACTTGTGGAACACAGCAATGTTTACATTTGTCCAAAATCATGTTTCTAATGTATGAAGGGGTCTCAGGGAAGCCATGTAGTGAAATGTGTCCGGCGGGCTGCTGCACCAATGTCTTCTGCACATATGTGCCAGCTGCCCGGCTTGTAGGAGGGCTATGTCCTCGGCTATATGATTGGCGTCGGTGTAAATTCCAAGTTCGCCTCCACCGAATCAGTTGTGGCCTTCTAGGTGTGTTTGGCCACAGTTCGCTCCAAACACGTGGCCCTCTATGGAAAGCCTCTTCCTGACAGTGAAGAGGACCCAGCAGGCAGAACAGGGACAAGTTAGGTACTGATGGCTCACTGACTGCTGCACCTGTGCACTCTCTGAGCCTGGACCATAAACCCTAAAACAGCCTGTCTAGACCTTGCAAGATGTGGAACAGAGTGTCTCCATGCTCTGGCGAGCACATGCATGTGCCATTTTTGGAATGTGTCTGGCAGCTTGTCTGGTAATGCAGGTTTCCACTGCAGCACTGTAGGTGTGCGCCAGAATAATTCCCACCAGGGAAGACCCATGGAGTCTCAGAAGCAGAGACTGCAGGTGTGGGGATCTGCCGTGTCCCTCACACAATTTGTCAGCTCGCTCATAGGCTGCAGGTCTGCCATTCAATGGGATGGCCACACAGGGCTGTACCAGCAGGTGAACGCGCTCCACTAAGAGCCCACAGGCTTCAGGTGAGTGTAGATTATAAGATGTGGACCGAATGCATATATTTTAATAATATGTTACTAATTATGTTTGTTTTATCAGAGCCTCACAAACTCAGTGTATTTTATTTACTTTTTTCCTTCTTCATCCACAGTGTTTGAAGAACCTGAAGATCCCAGTAACAGGTCATTCTTTTCAGAGATAATCTCTTCTATATCTGATGTGAAATTCAGTCACAATGGCAGGTACATGATGACCAGGGACTACCTGTCTGTCAAGATATGGGATTTAAACATGGAAAGCAGACCAGTGGAAACCTATCAGGTAACTATGATTTGTCACATGTATTCATCCCCTGTTCTGTACATGTATTTTACATAGGATATAATGTAAAATTGTGTAAAAAAAAAAAAAAAAAAGACTGGACTATTTAGAGCTCCAATGTTCTGTGTACTGCAACTTAAGTTAAAACTAATTTTAAAAAAAATAATTCAGTTTTAAAATTTGGTTGAACAAGTTATTTGCTAAATAAAAATAGAAGAAACCCATAATTAAACTTTTGCAGCTGTTAACCTGATCCCATTTCACTGGGTACAGCATCAATGCTACTACAATTTATTGTAGTTGTTGCCTAGAACATTGAATGCATATGATGGGGTTGGAGATACATTTTTTTTAAGGGTCCACACACAGGGTTTTAGAGTCAGTATGTTACATTACAGCAGCAGGAACTCTATCCAGAAGGTAAATACATATTAAAAGCTCTTTATTTGAAAGCTATGTGCATATCCCTTTACGTCAGAAGTCCTCGTTAATCTAATTCAGCCATATCACTCACCAGTTTGTCAAGTTATATTGTTGGTTCCTAAAACCATTTCATCTCTTCCATTACTGCTGTATCTGGCCCCAAAAAAACCTGTAAATTAAAGGGACACTATAGTGTCAGAAAAACAAATCGGTTTTCCTGACACTATAGTACCCCAAGGGTGCCCCCACCCTCAGGGTCCCCCTCCCGTGGCGCTGAAAAACGCCTTCAGTAGCTCACCTAATTCCAGCACTGGGCTCCCTTACCTCTCCTCCCCCGCAGACGGCAGCATCCTTGTCTGACGTCACAGGAGCCGAATGCGCATGCGCGGCACAGCCGTGCGTGCATTCAAAGTGTCCGTAGGAAAGCATTTTTCAATGCTTTCCTACGGACGCTCTGCATGATTGAGGCATTATATGCCTCAATCATTGCAGATGCGCCTCTAGTGGCTGTCCAAAAGACAGCCACTAGAGGCTGGCTTAACCCTAAATGTAAACATAGCAGTTTCTCTGAAACTGCTATGTTTGCATCTGAAGGGTTAAAACCTGAGGGATCTGGCACCCAGACCACTTCATTGAGCTGAAGTGGTCTGGGTGACTATAGTGTCCCTTTAAGTGATTTATTTGCTTTTCAGGACACATAAGTCACTAGTACCTGCGGTGGTGTATACTTATGGTGCATTATCAGGGCTCAAAGAATAAATGTAATTAAAACAATTAGTAATAGTCTGCTATGCAGGTAACATCACAAGTTTTCATATATATAGATTTTTATGGAGACTGTTGTTTTTTCAGTAGGCAACATTTAAAGCATACAATTGCTTATATTAGTTGTGAATACGCTAATGATTGCCATTCCCTGGCATTGCTTCTCAATCAGAATTAAGGAAACCGCACACATATATAAAGATATACTGTATTTTATGTAATATAAGTATATTTTGACTAGAATTTTAGGAAAAAATAAAATGACCTGTACAATAATTACAGTAGACTCACGTTTGTTTATAGGGGATGTAGTGTATGCCTATAGAGAGATGTAGCAAGTGTGTTTGTTTGGGGAATGTAGCGTGTTTAGGGATGTAGTGTTTGTGAGGTGTAAGGAATTCAATGTGTATAGTGCGTGATTTTGTGTGTAAATTTGTAGGGTGGGATAGTGGCTGTGATCTTTGGGGAGGGGAGGGCAGGGGGGTGAAGAGCAGCTTTATATTTTATTTAATGTTTCCCCTCCCTGCCTCTTACCTCTGGCCTGGGAGTGAGACACAGAATTCCCTGGTGGTCTCCGGTAAAAAGCTGCTGCTTCAAATCCCTTCTGGTACAGTGCTTCTGTGAGGCGCAGCTTGCACCTCTGCAGAGTGCAAGCTCTTATTGTGAGCCCCAGCTTGTGCAGACTTAACGTATTACCGTGGTAACACACAGCAACACTGGCAACACGGGTTTGAGCGCCTGGCAGAACCTGAGTTCTGTCAAAATTTCCATCTCCCATTTTCACGCCAAAAAGGCAGTTTGGCAGTGAGACTTCTCATAATACATATTCTGTCTTATGGACATTTGAATATATGTAATTTTATGGATATATGTCCTGTGCTTTTTTTCCCAGGTACATGAATACCTCAGGAGTAAGCTTTGCTCCTTATATGAAAATGACTGCATCTTTGACAAGTTTGAGTGCTGCTGGAATGGGCCTGACAAGTAAGTGATTTGTGCCTTTCTACTTCTGAAATGTAGTTGTATCAGAGTGCAGCTTCAATTAAAAAAACGAAAACACATCCATTTCATTTCTTTTTCCACTTGTCTAATAGAAATCAGTCTGCGTTCACCCACTGGCCTTTTTACAGATATTGCTGCATTCATGCACGCACACATTTACACCAGTATTGTTAAGTCTGGTCTCCCTTATGTTGATGAACTTAAACTTTCAGAATTCTTTGAATGCAATAGATGGGCAGAGAATTATGGAAGTTGCGGTCCAACAACATCTTGGGGCTGCACTTTGACAACCCTGCTTTAGACAGGCAAGCACCACCATAAACATAATGGATTTTAAGCTTATTTGAGCAGGAACTTATTCTCCTCTTGAATCTGTTATCATTTTGTTTGACTGTGTTGGAATTTCACTGAAAGTCCAACCTAGTCAAGATATACTGATCAACTTGGGGATTACTCTGGCAAAATGGCAGTCTAGCCTTGCCAAGCTCACAATCTTCACTAGTGACTGCTGAGGGGAATGGAATCTGTCTATGGAAGATCTTGCAGAATCCTCCATAAACATCAGTGCTGTAGTTTTCTGCATACACCACAAGGGTACAGTACTGACATCGGCTCCTGGCAACTGAAGCGCCAGAAGCTAAAGAGTACTGGATGGAAGTCCATGTCGCAAGGGACTGATTCGGGTAAGTATAATTCACCTTCCCCTGCAAACCATGGGTCACCTGATGCTCATCTGTTGTGCTGCAATGTCACAGTCGGGAGGCGTTGCAAATTATGCAGACTTCAGACTGATAGAGCCACTTTAAATACCTTATTATAATTGCGTAAACATGCATAAAAATTTGGAACTGCATTAATGCTAATAATGCCTATGGTGAGTAATCTTCACAAGATACCTTTACTTGTGTTTTTTTGTTTTGTTTTTTTTTTACTAATGCTCTTTTGAAAGATTTTGATAAGATTTTGACTATACATTGTGCTAGCAAATAGTTGTTGTTTTTTCTCCCACTTCTTGGTTAAATCTTCAGCATACACTATATTCTATTTAAATGACATGGGGAAAGCAGAAAAGACCTCCCATAGGAGGACCTTCTGTTTTCCCAAGCATAGTGACCACAGTGCATGTGGTGCAGTTGTTATGGAAACTCCCTATGGATATGGATTGCCTTCCTAAAAAGGAGACATGGTGGGTGTTACATAAAGAGTAACACACAAACTGGGAAATGGCGGCCCTGGATCGCTGTATGGTAAGTATATCTCGGTATTTTGCATTGAATACATCATATCTCTGTATAGTTAATTTATTTGAGGACAATTAAGCCGAAGTTCAGATTTAAAATACATTGTTTTAGTGTCATTGATGTTGAAATTTAGAGTCATGCAGTGGATTGTCACCTTTCTGGTGCTAACTGAAATCTACACTTGCTTGAAGTTAAGCATTTTCATACATACTTTACATTTATGATTGCGTAACTTTAATATTGATGCTGTTTGTTACAGACATTTTCTAACCGCATCAATTTATTAGTTACATTAAATTATTCTAGTTTGGGAATATGATCATGTCATGTTCTGCAGGAGATAATGACATTACATGTTCACGTTTTGTATTGCATCTTCTTTTTAGTGTGGTTATGACTGGCTCATACAATAATTTTTTCCGGATGTTCGACCGCAACACCAAACGCGATATCACTCTGGAAGCATCACGGGAAAACAGCAAGCCCCGTATGGTGCTGAAACCTCGCAAGGTCTGTGCGAGTGGCAAGCGAAAGAAGGATGAAATTACAGTAGACAGTCTGGACTTCAACAAGAAGATCCTGCACACAGCCTGGCATCCCAAGGAGAACATCATCGCAGTGGCAACCACCAATAACCTGTATATATTCCAGGACCGAGTTAATTAGCCCTGGCCTCTTACTGCAGGACAGTCCCTATTCCATCTAGTTCCAATAGTCGAGCCTAGAATTCGTACCCTGTTCCAAAACTGAAGAAAACTTACGACAGTGCGGGAACTTTTGCCAGTCCCTCCTAGTCTGACTTTTTCCAGTGTTTAAGGTGCCATCAAATATCCTTTTTTTTTTTTTTTTTTATAGCTGCGCGGGGTAAACCCCTGCTCCTGCCGTGTTATCACCCAGTTAAGGGAACGGTTAGGTTTACTGTACTTTTGTTTTGTTAAATTTTTTTTTATTTTTTTACCATCTCGTCTGATGTGTAGATTTCATTTGTCTTTTTCTGTTAAATTTTTTTTATTTTGTGATGTCAGTTACCAGTCTTCTCACTATAGTATTTTATTTTTTACTTTTTAGGCTGGAAAGTGGTGGGGAACCTTAAAGTACCTTTATGGGTTTAATAATGTATAACCTTGTGACTCCTACCCCCTCTTCCCCTAAAGCTTGTTCATTCTTTTCGTGTTCATTTTAAAAAAATATATTATTTACTCAATTTTTTTTTTATTTTTTTTTTCCTTCTTTCCCTGTCTGTTGCTTGTACTGGATTTCTTGGCCATACCCTACACCCCTTTCTCAATCCATCCTTCTCTACTTGCTGTCCCTCTTCCTCTCCTTCCCCATCCTGCCCTGCGCTGGTGTAAATCCAACTGCTACAAAGCACACAGGGAAATGGGTTGACCTTGGCAGGGTTGATGGGATAAGGTTATTGCTGAAAGCTGTGTCTTGATCACATGTTTTAATGACAACCTGACTGTAATCACTTCTTGCCTTGTCTGGCACTGAAGGGGGGGGGAAAGACTTTAAAAAATTTAAAAAAGCCAAAAAACGAAGGATAAAAACTACTGAATAAAATACAAATGAATAAATCTGTGTTGTGTGTGTTTCTTTTAAAGTGCTAATGGAATTCCAGTGTACTAATAGCCCATCTGTACAATTAAATGATAGGTACTGGCGCTTATTAGAAGTGAATACAATTAATGGAGTATTCCATGGAAGGATATTAATCAGTAGCAGCCAAACACCAATTGTGTAACTTTCCCAAATAACATCAGCTAATAGATAAAAAAATATATGAAAGAGGTGTAGCGCTTATTAAAAGGTAATGATTACCTTAAATATAACAATCAGGGTACACCCAGCTATATCACTCTCTGGATGTCTGAAAGTATAACTAGTACAACATACTGCTGATCATTTAGAACAAAGGTGAAGAAAACAAAAAAAACAGGACACTCACAAACGAGGAGCTATTGAACCTAGCTCTGTTGTGGATAACCTCCGGGTCCATTTAGGTGACCCACCCCTATAGGAGATGAATGTCCAATCCTAGGGAAGTCATAAAGCGAAAAATAGAGTAGTACAGTTGCAACCAGTAGTGTACGATTGTAAGCCAATCAATACTTAGAAACAAACAGAGCCCCTATGGCTCTGCGGTATCGCGTTGTGTAGTTCAGGACTACACTCCCTCTTTATAAAGGTAATTCCGAAACCAGGGGGAAAATAAGAATACATTTATTAATCCACTATAAAAACATCAAATAAAAAAGGAGCAATGTCCATATAAAGTTCTAGAACGCGTTTCACTACCAAACGAAGCTTCCTCAGCCAGGTAAAATATGTATCGGTCCCTGGTTCTCCGGTCTGTGTTTATATACCTTTTTATAACGAGGAGATGATTATCCGGTGTTCTTGTTCTGTTACGTAATGTACCATATACTGGTAGTACGTTGTGGTCCAAGCTTTTATATGGTGATGGGTATTCATTACGACGGGCATTCTCACCTGGAGCTCAATCGTATTCTGAGTATCGTGTATACACACAAGGAAGTAACAAGATTGGTAACGCATACAATACACATAATACGACGGAGCTCCAGGTGAGAGTGTCCTTCGTAATGAATACCCATCGTCATATAGAGGCTTGAAGCACCAATGTGCTACCAGGATATGGTAAATTAATGAACAAGAACACCTGATAATCATCTCCTCGTTATAAAAGGTATATAAAAACAGACTGAAGAACCAGGGACCACTACACATTTTACCCAGCTGAGGAAGCTACGTTTGGTAGTGAAACGCGTTCTGGGTCTTTATATGGACATTGCTCCTTTTTTATTTGATGTTTTTATAGTGCATTAATAAATGTATTCTTATTTTCCCCCTGGTTTCGGAATTACCTTTATAAAGAGGGAGTGTAGTCCTGAACTACACAACGCGATACCACAGAGCCATATAGACTCTGTTTGTTTGTAAGTATTGATTGGCTTACAATCGTACACTACTGGTTGCAACTGTACTACTCCATTTTTTGCTTTATATGCTTCATCTAGGATTGGACATTCATCTCCTATAGGGGTGGGTCACCTAAACAGACCCGCGGTTATCCACACCAGAGCTAGGTTTAATAGCTCCTCGTTTGTGAGTGTCCTGTTTATACTTTTCTCACCTTTGTTCTAAATGATCTGCACTATTGTACTATTTATAGTTTCAGACATCCAGAGAGTGCTATAGCTGGATGTACCCTGATTGTTATATTTATGTGCGCCTAAATGTGCGCACAGTCCTTAAAGGTTCACTACAGGGTCTGGAACACAAACATGTATTCCTGACCCTATACTGAAAACCCACCATTTAGGTGCCTTGCCCCTGTCCCTTTAACTCCCTCAGAATGGATTAAAAACACCTTATTTTCAGCTCTCCACGGGTCTGCTGACGCTGGCCCCACCCCCTTGGTGACATCAAAATTGCTGGGGTTTTTTTTTTTTTTGTATTAAGCCAATCTAATGCTTTCCCATTGTGAAGGCATTGGATTTGCCTAAAATCAGCAAAGGGGCAGGGCCATATGCCCTTTTGGCCAGTAAGCCGAAAATCCAGCTGAACGGCAGGGCTGCTTACTGAGGAGTGGCCACTTGGAGGTGTCCCTAGGGGCAATGTAAACACTGCTTATTCTCTGAAAAAGCAGTGTTTACATGAAAATGACTGAAGGGAGCGATTATACTCACCAGAACAACTACATTAAACTGTAGTTGTTCTTGTGACTCTAGTATCCCTTTAATGAGCTGGAGGTTATGCAGATGTTTTATATAATTTGGGATCATGAACACTGCATTAAGTCTGTGTGTATATATATATATATAGTGTGTGTGTGTATATATAAAATACCAGTCTAGCTTATAGTTCATATCCAGATGCCACAGACAAAACGGTGAAAAATTGCATTCTAATTGGGGAAAATGTTAACATTTAAGTGAAAAAAAATGAAAAACGACTGCCTGTAGTGTCTGAACGTTAATGGTTTGCAGATAAGTTGACTACACAAAATGCACATGAGATTTAATATGAGCTAGCAAAACATCACGGGTAATGGATTAACTATCACTGGCCCATAAAGAATTAGAGAATCAAGATCCCATTTACCAATTGCAATAAATGTAAGTACACAACACCAGTTGTATGTATGTTTTTAATACACGAGACAGATAAGCTAGGCTGTTTATAGCTTGCTCTGCGTTTCCTGAAATGCCTTATGAAGCACAATGTATTGGAAATGTTAATTGCTTCCTTTTGAAAACACACTGGAGCACAAATACAGTTCCAGGTTTCAGAAACCATAACTGCAAAATCTGCAGGTCTTGGGAGGTGGGAAATCAGGACTTTCAAATGTCAGTGTGTTTTAGTATGCAGGGTGAGTGTAAAAAAATAAATAAATAATTCAGCCTAGTTAGGTTATGAGTAGCATGCATCTTTGCCTTCTTTGATGCATACCTAAAACATTTCCCTAGTAGTGTATGCAGAAGTATGACTTAATTACAGCTATATGGTATGAGTATAACAGTAGAATGGTTGATCTGAAAAAGGGATACTTTTATGGTTTTTCATAAAATATTAACACTCAAAGCACTGTGCCTGTCACCCTCGCACAGTAAGTAGTCAAACTCCAAGAGGGTGGCATCACTGCATCTCCGAGCTCATGCCAGGATATTTCGTTAGTTTCACAGACAAACTACTGGACAGGGCAGACTTGGCTGAGACAATGAGCGCATCCTTGCATTGCTAAGTTTAGGTCAGCATTGCAACATCTGCCTGCAGAACAGGCAAGTTGTCAAATTATTCTTGAATGGTTTGTCTACTTACTGTGGAAGGGTGCTAGGGTACTTCTATAGTGGTTGTGGTGCTTAGAGGGTTTCTTTTACATTGTACGGATTTTGAAATTATTGCACTGAATGAGCCAAAATTGTTTCTGGATTTTTAATTGTCCAAACTAATTTCTCACTGGCAAGGGTAGCAGCCAGCAAACAAATGGTTATGACCCTCATCGAATGGTAGGGAGGTTTAAAATTACCTTTATGCCACTGTTTTATATTAAACTGGAGGGGGACCTGGTAGAGAGAAGTTCCTTGTATGCCCCAACCAATGGACATCTGGCTAGAGCTCTTTACTGATACATGAAGGGACATGCCAATTTCTGACCCACAGGTGGGAGAACATGCAAGTGAAGTGTATTAATGAGGGGTGTGGCATGCAACTGTCCCCACCGTGGTCGTCATTGTGGGGAGAATTAATCTAAAGGAAAATGGACAGGTCAGTAGTCCAACCTTCCCAAATGAAGGTCTTTCATCCCACTTAAAGTCTCTGCCTTCCTCCCCTAATAAAAGTGAATGAGGTGGAAACAAATGTAATACCTGTAAGTAACAGATATTACCTAGTCAGAATTTCAGGGTCCCCCTCCCGTGGCCCCTTCAGCAGCTTACCTTATTCCAGCGCTGGTGACCTCTCCTCCCTGTCTGACGTCACAGGAGCCGAATGCGCATGCGCGGCAAGCGCCGCGCGCGCATTCAAAGTGTCCATAAGAAAGCATTTCACAATGCTTTCCTATGGACGCTCTGCGCGATGGGGGCATGAATGTGTGTGTCTGTCAGTGTGTCAAATCAGTGAGTGTCTGTGTATGTCATTATTTGTTAGTGTATATGAGTGTTCATCTGTCAGTCAAAGTGCGGCCTTGACAGGAAGGGGTGGGGAAAATTTAAATGCCTAGGGCAGCACAAATCCTAAATACACCACTGCACGCGGCTCTTAAGAACTCCACAGCACACCGAGCACTGAGGCCAGTCAGTCTCCTCTTGTCGTACCTTTGCACTTTCCTGGATGTTTTACTCCCAAGACTAGTGCTGAGACTAAACTCCCTCCGATCGGACAGCGATTCACCACAGATACGCTGGAAGTGATAGTGACAGTTATTCCCAAAGAGGGAAAGGACCCAACGACATGCTCAAGCTATTACCCCATATCTCTCCTGAACAGAGACCTCAAATTATTTGCAAAAGCCATGGCAATGCGGTTATCCCGTGCAAAGTTTACCCGGACCAGGTCAGGTTCGTTCCGGGTAGAGTACCTGGTACATGGGAAGGGAGGTGTTCCTCCTCTCAACGGACGCAGAAAAGGCCTTCGACTGGGTAGACTGGACAAACCTTGCAGCAACGCTGCAACACATGGGCGTAGGTCCCTACTTTCGAACATGGCTGGCCTCGCTATACACGACACCAACGGCAATTGTAAGGGTAAATGCAGTCCTTGCAGCACCGTTCCCCGTACGAAACGGCACTCACCAGGGCTGCCCCTTGCCTCCCCTCCTGTTTCCCTTTTCTCTAGAACCATTTCTGGAGGAGGTCAGACAGGACATAACTCTCCCACATAACCTGGAAGACCATCTGCGAACACAATTCCACTTTCGCTGGAAAAACACCATGATTCGCTACTTGGGCACCTGACTGCCTAAAAACTTGACGCAAATATACTCTGTGGATTTCCTCCCCAACCTGCAGCGATGGACGGGCCTATACATTTCGTGGTTTGGCTGCATTAATGC